GGGGGGAATGGAGGTACTCATAAAGGTGATTTTGAGACATTTACGGAGTGCTGGGCACCGGGCGTGGGCCTGTCGTCGTCGCATCGTGCACGCGCTGTGGCAGCAGAATGACCCTCTGCTCTGTCCGCTAGCTTATGAGGATAGGATAACAGAGTTTTTAATTTAATTTTTTCCATATCGCGGGTGACCATTCGGAGCTCGCTTCGGCATGAAGAAATTTTCCAGTGTCCCACCATCATCGGCATTTCCCTCAACGCGGCTCCGAAGATCATTAAAACACACATACATACATACATACACACACGCACATACTTTCTCCACCTCGACCGCCAGCTGCTGCTCCAGCGCCGCTACTGCCACCGTCGGCGGCGCCGGGGCCTCCAAGTTCGCCGCCGCTGTAGCAGTAGCCGTCGATGTCGTCGCCGCCGGTGCTGCATCCGCCGCCGCCTTACGACTCCCGCGCCGCTGCCGACCAGCAGCAGCTCCGAAACCAATCCGCCTTCCACCGGACTCCGCTGGAGCCGCCGTACCAGCCGCGACCGCCACCGCTGCCGCCGCTGCGGCGTCATCTGCCAGAAGCTTCTCTAACTCCGAAACCAGATGCTGGTGCTGCACCTCTGCCGCCGCAGCGGCCTCTTCTAGTCGGCGAATCTCATCCTTCATATATTATATTGCATCGGTACGGCACCGGTACGGCAGTATGTAAAAGATGGCCCGCGTACCTAACCAGACTGAACTCCTTTACACTACCCGCATACTATCAACAAGCCCCTCACAAGGTTAAAGCTCCTCATAGCCCCGAATCCCTCCCTCCCTCCCTCCCGTCACTGCAACCCCCCCCTCCAGCACCTCATGACACCGGGGGGAGAGCCAAGCTCGCAGACAGACGCCGGACCCATCGCCCTCAAAACAATTACTCCCCAAAAACTTATACCAATTGCAAACAAACCTCAAACGAATTACAAACAACCCCTTAGGTCGTTAGGGACATTCTATTCCCTGGGAGAACCCCCTTCTCCTCCTCAGCACATCCCCCTCCCCCTCCCCCTCCCCAACAACAACAACAAATACCAACCTGGCCATCACTCTCCCGCCTTTCACACGCCGCAAGCTCGTCCTGTGCAGTACGGCAGCGTCAGGTGGTACGGAGCCATCGAGTGAAGTCAACCCGGAGAAAGAAGGGGCAGGGAAGGTGTGTGCCACACAGGGGAATAACTTGAAACACCAAAATTCGTATCCGCGTCTTTGCGGTCCTTACCGCGCCCCGCCCCGGCGCCCCGGCACAGATAAGGCCCAACAGGTAAGGGAAGCGTTGTTTGAACGCAGTTACATAGAAGGCATACCGGCAAGGCATGTCGTGAAGGCATACCGTACGTACGACAGCCATGTGCGTGTGCGTCGTACCTCAATTTGGCGGACCCAGCGCTCCAGGGCGGCCCCCAGCTCCCCGCCCACCGCAGCGATCTCCGTTTCCAGGGAGGCTAGGCGGGAGGCGGCGGCAAGGCGTTCCTCATCGTCGCGTACGGCAGTTTGCTGTACGGTATCGTACACGAGCGCCCAGCGTCATGCACATACCAAGCGGGTCTTTTTCAGTAAGGTAAGTGCCGGCGGCGGCACGAGCCGGCTTGGGTGTCAGATGGGTATTGAGATGAGGCGGTAGAGTGGGGTGGGGTGGAGTGGGGTGGGGTCAGGGAACGGAGAAAAGAAGCGGCCACGTACCCACATACGCTGCATTCCTGGAGAGGACAGAACAATGACTTTTATTTTTAAGAGACACACACACACGCACGCACACACACACTCTCTCTCACACAGCATTTCCCCCATCGCGGCTCAGATCATCAAAAACAAAACCACAGCCCCACGCGTCTCCCCCCCCCCGTCCATGCGCCTCATGACATCCACACACCACCACATGAGATATCACCCATCCACACCCACCAACGTCTCCAAGTGCGTCCGTATCTCCCTGAGCGACCCGCGGGTCACCTCCAGCTCCTGACTCCCCCGCCGGGTCTCGTCACGCCACCGAACCAAACCACTAGCGGACCCAATCAGGGCAGCCAGGGCCGTGGAGTCTGTGGAGGGGGGGGGGGGTAGGGAGGGGGAGAAGAGGGGCGCAGGATGTGTGTAGGTTAGTACGGATAACAACTGAGACAACAGAAAAAACGTATCAACAGTTGTGATAACAACTCCGCGGTGGGAGGAGGGCGGAAGCGTCGTGATATTTTTATATAATAAAACGGAAACACCCAACCCTATGTACATACCGTATGCGCACATGGCCGGGCCCCACTCCTAACCGCTTGTTTTGTCGTACAACGGCCACCGGTACAATATGCACCCCGGGGCCGCCTCAACCAAAAACATCGGTGCGCTGTCGCCCCCCCCACCGTCAGAGCCACCGCCGTCGCCGTGTCGTACATGGCCACATATACATATAATAATATAACCATGTTTACTGTCGTACACACCCATGCCGTACATACCGTTGCTGTCGGCCAGCGCCGTGACTTGCGCCTGTCGTATGACCCGTGGGGAGGTGTCAGTCCCCGGGCCGCTGTCCAGAGCCATCCCCCGGGGGGCGAGGAAGTCCTGCCCGGGGGGGAAAGACGGGGATGACGGTGTATGCGTGTGTGTGGGGGGGGGGAGAGAAATAGAGGTGAGGGGTAATGAGGGGGGTCTGAGCTGAGCTACGGCAAGAAGGGGGAGAGCATCCCGACATAAACCCCCTCCCGGGCCGTGTGGTGTGCGGTGTGTGGTGTGCGCCACCTTCACACCACATCTGCAACCCGCGGGTTCTACACCAACACTAAAATACTGTACGCACATAAGAAGAAAGTAGCTACCACAAAACACACACACACACGCACACGCACACGCGGACGTACGTGCGCATTCCCTCTTAATTACCCCCAGCCGTGGAGGTCGCACCTTGACTTGCTGTGCAGTGCGGTTCCGGCCGTCTAGCTGGTACAGTCGACTGGCGCCGTCGGGAGCCAGACTGGTGCGAAGGGTGTGGAGCTCCAGGGGGGGGGTGGCGGCGGCGGTGGAGGCGCTCGCGCTGGCGCCCTTGTTGACGGCGCTGCGACGGCCGCCACCGCCGCCGGCGCTACTGGCCACGGTCGCTGCTGCTTGCCGCTGTATTGTGAGTTCTACCTCACAGGGCTGTGTACGGCAGGCAGACAGGCAGGCAGGCGGGTTTCGGGGCCCGCCAATGCGGTGAGATGCCGGGAGAAGCTGAGACAATTTGCCGGGGGTTTGGGCTATTCCTAAGAAGTTTGTTTATGTGTATTGTACTGCAATGTGACCCCCAGCACTGTAACCCAGATGGAACTGGAATCTGATCTTTGATCTGCGACCTGTATGAACCTGTTCATGTGTGGGTAGCGGAGCTATAAGGGAATGCAAAAGGACCTGGCTAACATGGCATCTAAGCACCGCGGACAAAAGCACACAGGCACATGTTGCCCAGCATGCCTCAAATGATGTTACACCAGAATTAAAATTTGAAATTCGTCCATGAAGCGCGTAAAGCCTCACCGCATGGGCTGCGTCGCTGCTGGCCAACTCGCGCAAAGTCCGCACTCGAAGGGAAGTCGCCGGGCAGCCCACCGCAAACAGCACTGCCTCGAGCAGATTACTTTTGCCGCTGCCGTTGGGACCAAGAATTCCCACCAGATTGGTGTTGGGCAGCGGGACGGTGACCCAGCTCGGCCCGAAAGATTTGAATCCGCGGACGCGGATGGAAGACAGTTGCCAACGGCTGCTGCCTGATGAAGAAGCAGGGCCGGAAAGCGGTGCCATGGAGAGAAGAGATCTGAAACGGCCAAAACAAGCTTTGAAAAGGCGTTATTGGGCCGGCTCAAAGAGTTTGGTGCTGCTGTGTGTTGCGCGGGAAATAGCAGAAAACAGGTGTGCTGGACCTTGACGGGGAGGTGATACGATGAGCAAACGCCTAACAAAAGCTCCTGAAATTCATCTGTAAAATTTGTTCAAGTTCGCGCTGCTTCAACACGGGGACCACGGTGGGCGGGTTGGCGGGCTTTGTTACTCGCAGCAGCTTGGCATCCGGCAGTCCAAAGACGCCCTCTGATTAACAGCAGAGGGTTTGCATAATCCACGCCACGAGCAAAAACTTCCGAGCACAATCCCCGGAGGTCCAAGCAAATCCGCGCCATGCAGGTGATTGGTCCACCTTGTGCACCCAACTAGTGCTGAGCACTGTAAAAGTACTAAGGCATCCTGAAATGTAAATGGATAATCAAAAGACACTGAGCAAAGTGACGTAGGGGGAAGGTGCTGCGTGCACACCCCTTGGCTGCCTTAAAAAGATATGTAATGCTCAATTCACATAACTCATCAAATCACATAACTCGCAAATTTCGCAAGCACATATTTCGCAGCGCATGTTTCACAAGCACATATTCCACAAGCACATATTTCACAAGCACACATTTCGCAAGCACATATTTCGCCTCGCCAGGAAATCTTCACGATGGTGCACCGCGGCGACAGAGACCGACCCGCGGGTCAGTAAACGCAGCTAGTAACCCCCCTAGTCGCGTCCTTATCCTCCCGTCTGATTGCCCCCGTTCACTGCTCACCAAAACACGTCCACGGCATCTCGCATTTCCCGCCACCCGAATATATTTATCACACAGTTACCCCTCAACCGCTTTAACCCCGATGCGCATCAGCCACAATCCCCCATACCACAAATGCGCAGCTTTGGCAGTCCCTTTCATCTCACCCCCTTCCCCGCCAATTTCCCCTTACCGACGCTTCCATCTGACGCAAAAAACACAGGAGCACTGCTACTTTTCCCCTGGCATGCAACCTCCAACACCCGGGACCCCGCCCTCGTCACATCATCCATCCACGTAAGACGAGACGCCATCCTCATAACGACTCATAACGACTCATAACGACTCATAACGACTCATAACGACTCATAACGACTCACAACGACTCATAACGACTCATCGAGCGGTGCGCTGGTCTTTGGCAGGCTCCCCAGCATAGCCCGGTCCCACAACCAGTCGGGCAGCAGCCGCCGCAGAGTCATGTCGCGAGCCGCGTTGTTACCAATGAGGTATCGCGATCTGGGGTTGGCCGCCGTCAGCGCTTCCTCCACCACCGCCGCCACCTCCTCGGGCATGATGCCGCTTTCCTCAGCGTTTCGGGCCACAGCCATCATCTGGCAAATACGGCCAGGAAAGTACGGGACAGCAAAGTTACGGGACGAGAAATCGTACCATAACTATTACGTGGCATTCGATTGTACAATATATATACATATATAAAAGTGCACCTATACATACATATATGGCGTTCCCCCCTGGACTGGACTGCCGATATCGTTGTCACATTTTCTTCTACGCCAAGTCTGCACCTCGTACCTCGTCACACATTCCTTTGTACGGCCTCAATGCCGCGGGATCCAGAGCAGCAAGGGCCGCCTCCGAGCCGCCGATGCTCTTGTCCCAAATCGGCGTCTTGACGCCGCCGGCCTTGATCAGGATCGTACGGATGCCCCATTTGGGGCCTAGCTCGTACCTGCAAGGTTGGGGCGTACATGTTGGGATTCAGTAACACTGCTCCCAGCGTCCCAGGCAACCTAACCAATCATCCGCCTGTCCTACGGATTTCATCGGATCGGAAGTTTTGTTTAACTTGTTTATCAAGCTAGTTGAGTCCGCTGTGTACACTATTGATGTACCGACAAAGTACCGACAACTAGGCAACAATTTCAATTTGAGAGGAAGGGAAGTCGCCACTTCACAAACCGAAGGCGTCCGAGGCCCCGCCCGCCCGCCCGCCCGCCCGCCCGCCGCGGCTGCTGGTCCACCTCAGCGAGTCGGAGACGGCCTCCAGTCCGAACTTGGACGCCGCGTAGGCGCCAAACAGCGGCACTGCGATGGTGCCCGTGTAGGAGCCGAGGTTGACGATGCGACCGGGCTGCTGCTGCTGCCGGGAACCAGACTGTGGGAGCGGGAGCGGGAGCGGGAGCGGGAGCGGGAGCGGGAGCGGGAGCGGGAGCACGGCAGCGCGTTTGAAAGCTGGGGATGACGTGGCATTCGGGGTGATAATCACGGCAGTGGCTTTCATGCCATCCACCTTCGTCGTGGATTTCTCCTTAGCAAGCTACTCATGTCTTGAGTTACCGACCTTTCTCAGCAGCGGCATCGCCGCCTTCGTGACCCTCACAACACCCGTCAGGTTGACCGCCAGCACATCCTCGAACTGTTCCATGGACATGAGCTCCAATGGCAGAAACACGCCCTTGCCGGCATTGTTCACGAGACCGGAAAGGTTGCGCCCAGCCAGGTGGCGCGACACCTCCGCTACCGCCGCTGCCGTGCTAGCGTCGCTCGTGACGTCGAGCATCACCGGTACGACAGACGGATCCGCTTTTACAAGCGCATCGCCATCGGTGTCGCGACGCACGCCGGCAAAGACCTGCCAGCCCTGAAATCATAATGGCATGTGGGAGTAAATTGAAGCGATGCGGGAGGAAGGCTGTTGTTGCAGGGCGTGGAACACGATGTGGAACGGCGGAAAAAGGTACCAAATCGGAAGCCGTTCAAAAAATAGGAACACCATCTAGGCATTCAATAATTACAGGCGTCATAACTCGTAGCAGCACTGAAATGACAACCGTTCTGCTCAACGACCTGCACATAGCCAAACCAAAATTTCCTCGAAATTTAGCACATTCCTAAATGATATGCGTCTGGATTATCCATTTATACCTGTGAGCTAAGCGAAAGGGGTACACTGTCATCATGGCGGAAAACAAAAACACTAACTTCCGTTGTTGCTTCTCCGACACAAACCTTTTTAGCTAAATAAAGTGCCGTTGTCTTGCCGATTCCTGTCGAGCTTCCGGTGATGAGCACCGCCGGGCGGGACTCGGCTGCAAGCCGCAACGCAAAGCGCGACCGCGCCGGGGCCTTTCCCCGTGCAACAGACCAGCGCTCACATAAGAAACCGGCTCGAATTGATGTCATATCAGGTATGACACTTACACCTGGCGATACAACCGGAGCATCGATAGCATCCGCATGGGTGCAAGCTGGGTTTGGCAGTTGTGGTCACGCAAGCCAGGCAGGGCCGTACATCGTACCGCAGGCTACACGCTTCCTATCGCGAACAAGAACTTGAAATCTACTACGTGGGGTCATCGACCGGCCGTCTTCGCAGCCGTTCAAATGTAAAAAAAGTCAGTTCGAGACATTCGGATAAATCTGATCCGTGACGACCAAGTTGTTCTGGTCGTCACTGACCAGTTCCGAAGAGGGTGGGGTCTTCCCGCCCATTCTAACGGTGGATGTCCCTTGTGCCTGTAGTCCACCACAGCAGATCGCCGATGGGAGGAAAAGCCCACCTCTGCTTTCACCCTTACCTTCTCTCTGCCGCAACCACGACAGCAATTAACGCGAAAAAGTCAACGGCTGCGGATTGCGACTTCAAAAGCGGCTCCGCTCCCGCCATGTTGCGCTGTAGCATCTGTGTGCGAATGTTGTAGAGGTTATGGTTAGGTATCTCTGCGAGCGGTGTATCGTCGTGGCTCGGTTCGAACCGGAAGGGGAGAGGCGCGAGGGGCCCCTTCGCTGTTGGCGCAACTACCGGCAAAGCACTCGGCTTGCAGTCCGGTCGTCACTAATGACCAGCTGCTAGCTGGCGGACTGGTTGGCTGGCTGCAGCGTTTTTTAAAATTTTTTTGCCCTGCGCAGTAATTTGTTTGTTACTGGCCAGGTAGTTACTGTGAGGGTAAATGCCTCGGTAATTACCTAACAGAAATATTTTCAGGTGAGTGACGGGTCAGGTTGGAAGTGGGTGAACGGCGTCGGAGGTTTGCGTCGTCGATTGCGACGACGGTAAAACGTCCGCACCCAGTATTTAGGAGAGACCATAGCTGTTGCGGATGGCTACCGGAAACACCACTATGGAAGGATGACCTGCCCTTTGACCGGCCGGGACTCGACCACCCCAGCGTCCATACTTGGGGTGACTATTGACTTCTATCCGATTTCCTAATATCATCATACCCTTTATTGGCACACATACACAGATTTTACGGCAGTCCGCCTGCCTTTTCCACCTCCTCTAAAAAAAACCGATTGGCTCCGTCCATGCTCCTCATCCAGCAAGAACGCTTACGGCTCGCGCCGCTCATTTCTGCTGGGCGGGTCTGGACTTGAATAATCCTTCCAGACATACATCACGCCAAACAATCTCGAAATCGGGTATGCCCGTGGTGGAAGAAGCCTCCAGAACCGTGACCGAAAAACCCTCACCAGCAAGCCTGACAAGATGAGGTGGGCCGCCCCCAACATATTCATGTGAGCCCGCCTGCTGCCAGAAACCGTAGGGTTGCAGAGCGGTGCCCCATCCTCACATCCTGTGTGTGTGTATGTGTATGTGTGTGTGTGTGTGAGTGTCGGGCATGCATCCTGTCGGTTGGATACACAACCTTACCCCCCCCCCCAATTTCTATCCTCGAGCCAGATATCCCGCATCCTGGTGACTGCATCCCCTCCCCTCAGCCATCCTCATCCTTGGTGGGTTGGCGCCTCGACCAGTCCAAATTTACCGCCATCCTGGGCCCTACTGCAGTTCTTATCCCGGGGGGGGAGTTCCACATTTCTACCCTACTCTTTCCCATCCGTATTCTGTGCCCGACGACCCTCCGCCGCATCCTGACCGCTCTGCAACCGTCCTCCGAAACCACATGCACGTACCGTACATGCAAAACCATCTCGGTATTGTGCATGAAGAGTGCCATCCTTCACGCCTGCCATGACAGGGGGATGGTACGATTATTATTATTACTATTATATACTGATGCAGGCGTAGCGCCGTGCACCAAAGAAACACGGCAAGAAATGCGAACTCGCAAAAACTTCCTCTCTTTAAATACACTGCCGTACACCTCCGTAGACGCGATAAATATGTACTCGAGAATTTGTACTCTGTTGATATTCTAAGTCATTTAACAGTCAAACCTGCAACTGACCTCAGCAAACCGTCTGACTATTCACAATAAAAAACTTGACTTATTGACTTAATCGGCAGCCGCCGCGGCGGCGGCGGCGTTGCCGTCAGATAGCAGCATCTCCAGCAGCGCCCGCAGCCCGTTAACGGCACCCGCCGCTGACCCCGCCCCCAGCGGCGGCATCCACCACGCCGCCGCCACCGCTGCCAGGCGCGGCGCCGTCAGGCCGTTGCAGTCCACCAAGTCCGGCGCCAACGCTGCACGCAGTAGCCGCAGCAGCTCCGAAACCACCGCTAGCTGCATCACCCCGCAGTGCCGCCGCAGTAGCGCCACGGCATCCGCTGGGGACGTCGGTGGCGCGGCTGCGGCGGCATCCGCCACCGAAGCGGGAATCAACGGGTACGGCAGCTGGCGACACCACAGCAACAGCAACGCCGCAACGTCATGGGGGTCCGCGGACACGGGGACCAGTCCCCCCGCGTCCAAGATCAACCTGCATTAGGAACGTCCGGTTAGGCCACAGGCCAACCGCGCGTGCAGTCACAAGTTCCAATCAAACGCCGGTACGTCCGTACGTCTCGTGTTCGACGCGTCCTGCACCCTCTCCCTCCGCCATCTTGTCCCGAAACCCCGACCTGGAGTTGCCTTTCGAATCACAAAATCCACACGACCCCACCCGCACAACCCCACCTCAGAGGCTCCAGCAGTCGCAGCAAAGCCCGCTGCGCCTCACGTCCCGTGGGTTGCATCGCCGCCGCCGCGGCCGGCACCTCCTCGCCGTCCTGGACCCGTAGCTGCGCTGCTTGCCCGACCGCCGCCGCCGCCGCCGCCGTCGCCGCGCCGGTGTCGTACCCCTCCCGCGCCAGCACCAGCGCGGCACTATCCGCTAGAATGCCCGGCACCCGCAACGCCGCCGCCGAGTTGGCCGTCAGCGCCGAAACCAGCGCGAGGACTTCCTTTGGCGGCACCACGGCGCCGTCGTCGTCATCATCATCGGCTCCGCCGTGAGTGTGCGCGCCACCCCCTGATCCCGTAACCCCACCACAAAGTCAGGTAGGCAGCTAATTCACCCAGAAGCATCAACAGCTAGGCGTTTACGCTTCAAAAAGGAAAGCAGGCATGGATGCAGTAATCGCAGGCGCACAGGACATACATACACACGCACGCACACTGCGCGTAGTGACATCTTCAACCCTTACATCTCGCGGCTCAGCTCATTCAAACACACAAACACGCAAACACAGACACGTATCCTTCTGCCTGGGCGCCTCACCTTCCTGCAGCTGCTGTAGCTGCGGCTGTAGCTGCCCCAGCCCCAGCCGCTCCGCCAGTGCTGCGGCCTCCGCGGGGGGCAGGACGGAGCGGTTGCCCAGACGTGAGAGGTCCTCCAACGATGTGCCCACGAAGGACTGGCGGTAGCGGCCTGCACGCGGTGTGGGTGACACAGTATACAGTGGCGGCTTGCGTGTATGTGTGTGTGGGGGGCCCCCCGGGTGGTGGGAGGGGTAGCAACATCAACGATTCAACATTAGCAGCGGTGACCGCAGCAGTAGCAGAACCGCGACCATTATCAATAATAATTGTTAGAATTTAATTATAATTATAATTATAATAATGGTAAACATTATTATTGCTATTATTATTTCGGGAAAAAGTGGACGCTTTAAAATCAGCAGCAGCAGCACCAGCAACGGCCTCCAGTGTTCTTGGCGTTCTGGCGTCACCTCACCACCAATCGTGATAAATTTGTCGCCGCTGTCCTCGATCCGAAGAATGAGGATGCAATCCAGAGACCCCGACTTGAAGAGGAGCTGAGCAGCTGTCCCCGGCCCTCCGCCCTCCACCAACACCGTCAACACCACTTCGCAGCTCTGGCCTGCAACAGCGGCCAGGATAAGGCAAGGCAAGACAAGGCGCAAAGTAAAACGACGGCAGGGAGGTACAACGGCAGCGACAGGTGAGGCACGGAGGTAACGCCAGGGAGCCATGTGGACTTGGCCACCGAACACTAGACATGGCAGGTGCCCATTGGCCAAAATCCAGAAGTTCCAGAAGCTTCAGAAAGCTTGGAATCAGCGACCCGGCCATCGTGCGCTTTTCAGGGGGCGCACTAAGTACAGGTGCACGGGAACATGCCGTGAAGTAACGGTTAACGAAGTCCCATCGCTGGTCGGCAGGGCCCGCTAGTAGCCGCTCCCCACACGCGGTACACGCGCACCTTCGCCGCCGGCAGGTGCGACAGCCCCTTCCCCCCCCTCGTTGACGCACCTGGCTGTACCACTCCCTCTGCGGGCTGTGCCTCCAACCAAGGGGGCAGAGGCGGCGTCTCGTCGTCCAGACCGAACTTGCCGCCTGTGCGGAGAGCGGGAATGGCGAGACCGATGGCTGATGTGGATTTCGATTTCTCCTAAAGTTCAATTACTCACTCGCTCGCTCGCTCCGGTTCCTCATCCCGTGCCCCCTCATCCCGTGCAGCCACTCACCTCGTCCCGTGAGACTAGGGCTGGGCTCTTGAGGCGGAGGGATGAAGTGGAAGAGCGCCTCCACGCTGCCTGTGTTGGTGATCCGCAGCTGCAGGGGCTGGGGGCGACCCAGCGCCACCCACTCGCCCGCGTCCAGCACCACCGGCTCCACGGTGACGCTGCGGTACAGGGCCGGGATGGTGCGGGGGATGTGGATGGTAGTGCGGATGGTGGGGAGGAATTACGCGCGAAATTGCGGGGAGAATAAATGCCGCGGATTGTGGGATGAGGGGACATAAGGAAGGTGTGAGGTGGGGTGGAAGTTGCGGTGTAGCAGCACAGGCTGGGGTGGGGTGAGAAAGATGCGAGGAAGGTAGTAGGCGGTGTTTGAGGGGCTCTGCGTTGTGTAGGTAGTAACCCATGAAAAAGCTGCATTTGGTGCCCGTGCCCGTGCTGACCGATAAGCAGCGGCACACTGGCCCATGGGTCCATGCCGATCACACTCCCACCCACCGCGGCCGCAGGGACTCCTGCATCCGGTCCACGGCGCGCATGCCCGCCTCCAGCAAGCCCTCGATTCGCCGCCGGTCGTACGACACCACCTCCGCCGCAAAGCCCGCCGCCACCTGGCCAAGTAGGACATAGCCAGTCAGGGTAGAGAACAGCGGGGGCCATATCGGCATGATTCACGACACCAATTTGCGTCCCCGTTAACAAACCGCGCGACAAAACCCTAACAAACTCACTCCACCAAGATCACATCGGTGGTATCTGACATGGACGTGCCCTTCCCTCTACCACCCCCTTACGGTCTGGCCAGACCATCACGGCGGCCAGTACAAAACCCTAACCGACGAACTCGCATCTCCATCCACTTACACAAGTTCACATCTCATCTCCGTCAACAACGCAACACTTCGATCTATTTATCTACCGCACGTACGACACACACCTACCGGTTTATGGTCACTGACGGTGAGCTCGCCACGCCAGTACGCCAGCTGCCGCAACCTCGAGCCGACCACGCCGCCGTCGCCGCCGCCACCGGCGTCGCTGCTCCCCGAAGTGCCCGGTCGCTGGCTGCCACCAGTGGCATCAGGACCCCGGTGTTTGGTCCACCACAACACGCGGTCGCACCAGGCGGGGGTGCGCCGCTTGTGCTTCTCAGGGTCTGTGGGGGCGGGAGTTGAGGGACGAGCAGTGGTGGTGGTCGGCGACGGTATCCTGGACCCCCGGATGTTTTTTACACGGCGCGGTGCGCCGGCTGCCATACACCGGCTGCAAGCTGAGCTTGTTTCTTCGGCCAATGCCCAAAGACTTTCTGTTGTTGCCTACTGCGAGCTGCTGAGATGCGAGATGCGAGCCGCATCCCCACCGTGAGTGGTTGCTCAGGGGGTGCATGCACGGATAGCGCCCCGCACGGACGGCACATGGGCCCATGTGCAGGGGGGCTCTTGTGAAACGCGACCTTTTTGAACGGAAAGAGAAGATCCGAGGGAGGAGGAAGCGGAGGGGGAGAAACTGCAATGCCGAGGAGGTATAACAAATTTGGCCTTGACAAGCTGGGAAAGGTGCTGTAACTTGTAGCTATATGCAGGGAAGAGAGGGCTATAGAGCCCAGGCGTACGGCGCGTAGGGTAGGCTGACACGCACCGACCTGCAGTGCTGCCCGGGCCTGCCGATGCCGCCGATGAGGATTCGGCGTCCTCCGCCGCAGCCGCTGCAGGGGCGACAGCCGCCGACTCCGCCGCCTGCAGCGAGCCAGCTGACCCCGAAGCTGGCATATCGTCTCCATTGTACGTGTTAGTGCCCGCCTTGAACTTGTAGGTTGGCGGGAAGGTGACTCGACCCTCGTGCCAGCCCTGGACCCATGCAGCCGCGGCGGAGGCGGCGACGGCGACGGAGGGAAAACGTCGGCATCGCAATATAAAACTACTTTACTACCCAGAAAAAGATGCGGTTGGCCGTAAAACCCCAAGCATGCGTCCCAACCGTCCCAACGATCTAACGGCAAGCATTCACGGCTGGCCGTTGAAACTTGGTGGAGCTTCCCTCGCCGTCCTCAGTTTTTCATTCAGTTACGGCCCAGGTAGGTTAGTTTCGTGCCAACGCGCCTCGAGATACGTATCTCGGAAATAACCCGCTCTTTCCTGTTGGCTGCCCCCCCTCCTTTCCCCCGCATTGCAAACGACTTAGGCCACTGTGCCCTGGCTGCCTCACTGCTCCAAGATCATTATACAAGACCCTTTCTTTTCTTCTAAGCTGCTCCTTCATTGCAAGAATCCTTCCATTCCTTCACACACACACACACACACACACACACACACACACACACACAGACGCAGAGACACACACACATCACCTTCCCTCCCGTCCCCCTCACCCACCTGGAACACGCGCCCTGCTGCGCGCTCCCGACTCAGCTGATCCGCAGCCAACAGCGGCTCCCACCGGCCCGCCCGGATGGCAGCGCGGACGTCTGCGTCCGTCAGCAGCGGACCTTGCTGACCCACGACAGGTCGTGACTCGACAACAACACCGCCGCCACCGCCGCCGCCGCTGGTGCTGCTGCTGCTGCCACCGGCAGCCGACGATGCCGATGGCACGGTTGATATTCTGTAGTTGAGGTCCCCTAGCCAGATGACCAGGTCGTGGTCGGTGATGGTGGAGGGTGTTGCGGGCCAGTGACCGGGACCCAGGGAAGCACCTGTGTGGGGGTTGGGTGGGTGGGGGTGTGGGTGGGTGGGTGGGTGGGTGGGGTGAGGCGGGGTGAGGCGGGGTGCGGTGGGGTGCGGTGGGGTGCGGTGGGGTGCGGTGGGGTGCGGTGGGGTGCGGTGGGGTGCGGTGGGGTGAGGGTGGATTGGTGGGTTTCCGTGGGGGGAAATGTGGACGAAGACGTACACAGATGGTGGGGGTTGCAGAATTCTGTGGAGGGTTCCCGAGGGGGGGTCGCCCAACCTGTGGGATGTCTTCATAAAGGACGTTTTCCTAGGAGATTTTGAGGTGATAAGCCGATAGGAAGAGGGGGTGATAAGCCGATAGGAAGAGGGGGTGATAAGCCGATAGGAAGAGGGGGTGATAAGCCGATAGGAAGAGGGGCTGATAAGCCGGTAGGAAGAGGGGGTGTTTCAGGGCAATCATAAACTGTGAACATAGCCCTTTAAGCACCATTCGTAGTATGCCATGAAACTCAGGAACACGTTGTACAGCGAATGTCGTACTTGGCACTTACTGATCAGCGCCGCCGACGCCGCCGTCATGGAGGCGGCGCCGCCACCGCCGTCGGGCGCGCTGACAAAGACGGCACGGCGCAAAATGTCGTGCACGTCGGCATTGCGCCGGAGCTCGTCGCCTTCAGCGTCGCCCGCCGTCAGGTGTGACGCCACAAACACCAGCGAGCTGTCGTACAGCCGCAGACGGGCCGCCACCGCACCTGCGGGTGCGAGAGTGGAACAAGGCCGCCACCTCCTCAGTTTGCGGGGCGCTCACGCTGAGCGACTGGCGCTCTGGAAAGCGGTAATTATTATGGTAATTAGTTATACTACCTTTTGCATGTGTATTGTACTGTAATACTACACGCACACACCGATGTGCTCAAGCCCACGTCACGCCCACGTTCACCAATTTTGCCGCAACCAGTCGCCTTGCCGCGCCTCACCGGAAGCGAGTGAAGGTCACAGAACGTGATCGTGTACCCCACACACCCACATGCATATATACGACCCCAAAGCTAATCTCTCATGGTACATATGATGCAAGGAGCGAACCCGGACCGAGTCGAACGAACATGGCCAACAGGCGGCGTACGCCGTAAAGGCAGATAACCATCATGCAGATACGTGTATTATATGTCACCGCCGAGACGTCATACACGCAGTGCAAGCGGCCCTGCATGCATCAGCCGACCCGCGGGTCGGTTGACCCACCACAAGCCGTTTAGCTCCTCACGCGCGCACTCACATCCCGGCTCAACATACCTTTATTCCCCAGGTAGCCGCCAAAGCCCGTGGCCACCGTCGTCACCTACAACAGCAAACAGCAACAGCAGACGTCGCAGTAGTCGCGAGTCGATGCCCTGTGGTGATGTGATTAGATGGAGGCATGGTCCATCCCTAATTCCCTAAACCCCTAATCCCTAACACCCCACCCCAACCGACCCCACCCCACCCCCACCTGGACTCCCCGAACAGCCGGCAGCAGCCGCCTCCGCACCCACACGCTCAGGTACACCCCCACCAGCTGCTTGCTGGCCACCTGGACGTATTCCTCATCGCTGCCACTGGTGCCGCCGCCGCCGCCGCCGTTGACGGCGCCATTGGGGGTGTTGCCGTTGGGCGCAGTAGCAGCTCCGCCGTCCGCTGGAATGCGCAGGAAAGGGAGGGGTGCAGGGGTAGGCTCAGGAAGCGGAAGAAATGGCGCGAGAGAGAGAGCAGAGGCACGCGTGAGAGGTCTGCCAAGCTTGCATGTGGGGAGGTACGTTATCGCGCGTGTATGCAAACGTATGTTATGTCAATGCATGTGCTGGACCAGCATTACCACGTAGTACAACCCTAAGTTGGTGGAAGATGGGCTCCCCCCACATACCAACACACACAGACACATTCACTTACGTGCTGTGTTCCCTCCCCCCTGCCACTTGGTCTCGAGGAGAGCGGTGGCGGCGGCGGCGGCGGCAGCCGCCTGGCTGGCGACGGCGGCCGCAGAGGGGCCGTACCGCTCAGCGGCCCTGGGTTGTGTTAGGGTTTGTTGTTGGGGGTTATTGGGTTTAATCACACGCAGAAAGCAAAAAGCAGATCTTCAACTGCCTGCTGAATAAGGCCCAGCAACGGCAACCCAAAACTGTGCAAAATCACTCTCACGGCAGCTGGACAGAAACACGGCAGGCAAGTGGCATGATGATAGACATATGAAACGACCCGTGGGTCGTTCGCTGCACCGCCGATTCCTCACCACTCCTCCCCGTTGAGGTACACGGCCAGACAGCGGTCCCAGGCGTCCACCTGCGCAGTGCCCCACACTACCGGGGTGTGTGTGGGGAGGGGATCAGTTGCAACACGTAAACATCTCCATGAGCTGTATATATAGCTATGTATATAGTTAATTAGAGTCATAAATAGTTATAGGTATATTTATATATAGTTATACAACTATATGTAGTTACAAAACTACATATGTTTTATATATAACACTATACATAACTGAGGTGCGGGTGAAATGAAGGGTGAAGGAAAACTGGGGGAGGAGATGGAGTCAAGAACCCAAGCCATGGGTCATGCAACAACCGTGCATGGATGTGTTCGTATGCACGAGGGAGCCTGCACGGCTGCACGGCTGGCTGTTTGACTAGCTGAATGGTTTGACAGATAGGGTCTGCTTGGGTGTACGGATGGTCAGATTGCTGGGTGGCTGAATGGACTCTTGAATGGATGGGCTGGTAGGTAAGCGGGACGGCAGGATGGACGGAGAGCGAAGCTACTATAGATGGAAGCTGTATAAATCGATGGGGTTAGGACACCAGGTTCTCCCCGCGGCGACCCCAAGCCCATGGCCCCCCACATCAACCACGGCAACCTCACCGCCTCTTAACCAACTGGACCCCACTCCCTCTCACCTCCCATCACGTTCCCAGCGTTGAGCGGCACAATCTCCACAAACCCCACCGCCAAGATATCGGGCCCGTTGGAGCCGCTGCCGCTGCCGCCACCAGCACCAGCAGCGCCCCCGCTGCTGCCGCCCTCTGCGCCCTGCGGCCAGCGCCCCTTCATGCCGCCCGCCGCCGGACCCGCGCCCAGCCATTCGTCGAGCCTCAACCCTGGGGGTGGTTTCTTCCCGGCAACGTTGAAAGTAGCGGCCTAGGAAGGCGTGTGGGCGGGTGAAACGGGAGTCAATCCAGAAGTGCAATATTAGGGACTGGATGGGTTCGATGTGTTTAAATCATTGTGATGGTCTCCTCTGCTGCCTCCGCCCCCTATACGTGTATGGTCGGCTCCTCCGCCCGTAACAACGCAGCAACAGACCATCGGGTGCGTATGTGAATTTAAGGAAGCCATGTGCCAGTGAGTATGTGTGCTTTGATTCATATCATCAGCGCCATAGGGTTCACCTGGATAGTGGCCGTGCGCAGCTGAGTGTACTCCACCGCCGGTGTACGAGCAAAGTGCTGCCGTACATGACGAGATCGTACGTTTCGCAAAAGGTGTTCTAGCACGGGATCCAGGGCCCTCTCTGGACCTCCAGTCGTGGAGGGCCCTGCTCCGAGACCAGCTCCGGGACCAGGGCCTGAAAAAGGGGAGGGGGGCATAGGGGGATTTCGATGCGTTTAGGAACATCCATGCCGCATTAGGGTGTTGGTATGGTGGGGTGCAGACGGTGTTGGCGGCCAAGTTGCAGGATGACCTCCGGGAGTGGGAAGCGGTCCTAGGTACCCAGCTGTCGGAACGATATTGTCCTTACGAATGTTGGCACAACAGCTCCAGGGGGTGGAGGTCGTCAGGACAGTTGAGGATGCGGACGGTGAGTAGGCGAGTGGGATAACAGGTCTGATTGGGAACTGGGCTCTAGCGTGTGGCCTGTTGGCCGGCTGGAGTTCTGGGGTTGGACGTTGCATCCATGGGGAGTGAAGAGGCTGGGAGAGAGAAAATCAAGGCTCCCTATTGTCTGCCCACACTTCAACAATCGTCATCGCTGTCAGATGTGAGGGTGTCAAGCAACCGCCCAGGACGGGACCTGAAGGAAGGTGGCGCGCTTGCATCCAAGCAAAAGCGCGCCGAACCATACATTGTTATTGCATCACGATGGGGAATTTCTCACCTCCGCAGAGGTTTCATGTGCAGATCTTAGCAATATATAGGCTGTCTATTAGGGATGCTTACGCCAGCAGCTGACCCTGCCTGTCAATCTTCTGGCGCTTCCCCTGCACCCTACCCGATGACTTTGAAGTTCCCACGTAACGATTTGGGTCATTGTATGCAGCGATGTCATCAGCCAAAGCCGCCTGCAGTCACGAAATCAACTCCATGCTTCATCACTCCTTTTGGACATGGCTCGCCCCGACAGATGGAACGATGTTTAAGGAGGCAGCCATAGGGGAGATATAAATATGTTTTGTGGTCAAAGCAATGACTCACCACTTTTCCCCCTATATTTGCAAGCAATTTCTTCATTCTTGTTAGTGCAGATTTGGAGACGGAGAATAAATCGACCTATCTGTATACCTGTCAAAAAACCAATTCAGTATATCAAATGAGCGCAGAGAAATGGAAACTGTCTGCAGCCCTGATGCAAAATGACAGTTCGATGCCGTACTTCAACCAAAAACTCACGTCTGGCTCAACCCGGTTCGGCTTGAACTCCAGGACGTAGAATTCGCCATCGAGGGGGTATCAGCTCGTTTGTCTGGAAAGTAGGAGTCGGTGGCAGTTAGGTCCAAATGACCCGGCAACATTACAGTCTTTAGCTTTCTTCTGCTTAACTTCAATTTTGCATAGAATCTCGTGCCATGCAGTGCTTCGCTGCGGGATCGGCCTGGGCTCGCGGCTGCAAAGCCTGTCGGCGCTGCCCAGGCCCGGTTCTCGCAGCGGCCCCAGCAATCCATGTTTCGCTTGTGCTAGGAATAAGCTGCAGACGATCTGAATTACAACGAACATGTAGACACGTGGAACGTATTGTGGCGTCGGCGTCGCGCGAGGACCGGACGAAGGAGCCGTCTCCACAGCTGAGCTCCTGTGGTCGTGAGCCAGCACAGACGTTAGGAGCCGCTAAATTTATATCGTCTGCAACGAAGGCACTGGGCGTGGCCGGCGTCATGGTATTCGCCATGCTATTCGGGCCAACTCGGGCGGCGCAAGCGCGAGATAGGTACGCAGTTTGGGTGCAAAACCATTTTAAAACAAATGCTTATCGCTTTGTCCCATATTTTTATAGCGTCGGGAGCTGAGAGTTGGGCCGTTTGCAAAGTGTGTCGGTGTTTAGTGCCCCCGGAAAAGAAGAGTGAGATGCTTCATTGCTCAGCTTGCGGACTATTGCCCCAAAGATTCAACGCTGGGGGGGAGCTGGCTCACAGCGGATGGTAGTATGGAGTGGCCTCAGCGCCGGCGCCCAACAAATTGGGGTTTCGATAGATAGGGACTTTCCTAAATTGAGCTTGCCCTGCAGCTTCCTCTTTCCTCCTCGCCCATCCAAGGGCAGACTACTGCCGCAGCGACGCCAGCAGCAGCCATCGCTGAACTCTATCAACCGTTGATGTCCATGACGCGACGCCTCACCACTTGGGCTCACTGGACAACGCCCAAATGCATATCTGCCCACCACCACCCATCTGGGTTTCATCTGTCTGTATGTCTGTCTGCTTCTGTATAATGAGTATCATGTATTGACCTCACTGAAAGGACCTGCCGGCGCGGATCTTCTCCGCGGCATGGGACATAATACACGCCAACTTCACTCCAGCGTGCCGCGGACCCCGTGCCCTACTCTTTACGCCCAACACACCTCTTCCCCTTCTTCTCCTACAAATAGGAGTCGCACCTTATTGCCCCGCCCGCCCCATTACCGCCACTCTCGCGGTAACCCCCCCACCGGCGACCAATCGAACCCGCAACACCTTCCCCTCCCCACGCAGGAACCTCCAGCTAACTACCCTCCCCCAAGTGGCCGCAGTCCGATCCTCCGACGCACATGATGCAACCCGCCACAACCCCATCCTCTATGACCTCGCCGCCGCCACCGCCACCGCCGAACCTGCCGGCGCCGCGGCAGCGGCGGAGGCGGCGGCGCCGGCCGCTGCCGCCACCTCCTCCTCCTCCCCGGAATCCGCCGTGGAGGCCGCGTACAGGGGCTATTTGGAGCGCATCACCGCCCAGGTCCTGGCGGAGAACCCGGCGGCGCAGGGTCAGCCAGAGCTGCTGGCTCGGCTAGTGCGGGCGAGGGCTCTGGGGACGCCGTTGAGCTTCGATGAGCTGATGCGGTCCAGCGTGCCGTCACCGGACGAGGTGCCCAACCGGAATAGCCGTCAAGAGGTACGGCAAGGTGCATGAGTCTATGTGTGCGTATGGGTGTCTTGATCGGTGAGGGTGTGTTGATGGGGGGGAATGTGTTAAGAGGGTACCAATATAGAGAGACTGGACCAGTATTGGGCGGCCCGGGGCGAAATCATATAATGCAAAGTCCGGGTCCTTCCTTCCTTTTGACTATCTCTCCTCCCTTTGCCCTGGCTCGTCTTTTGATTGCCCTATCCCGGCGCTTAGGTAGCGGAGCAGATCAAGGCGATCATGGACCAGTACGACAGGGAGGATTTCGACCTAGGCATCAAGCAGTTCCTGCTGGAGGCCAAGGTCAAGGCGGTGAGTGCCGTACCGCAGTAATGCCTCTCCCCTCTTCCGTGCCCCGCCTGATTGCTTTTTTTGAGTTCCTACAGCAGTTTCTGGTATTTTGGACGTCCAAGTGGTCCTTTTTGAGCCCTTATGCTCTTTGCATGGTGTACGGTTTCACCCTAAACCCCTACAGAAACTGGAGGCTTCTTCCCGGGGCACTTCTCGCGACCGAGCTGCGCCTAAGGACTACGAGGAGGCGCTGGCTGCTGAGCTGTTTGCGGCGGAGGAGGGGGCGGCACCCAAGGAGAAAGCGAAGACGGAGGACATGGTGCGGGGGTTGTAGGGGGTGCGGGGGTTGTAGGGGGTGAGGGTTGTAGGGGGTGCGGGGGTTGTAGGGGGTGGGGGGGTTGTAGGGGGGTTGGGGATGGCGGCGGGGCTTGAGGGAGATGCCGGGTGCCTCGCTGGGTGGGGGTGGGGGAGGGGGTGGGCCGCCGGCATGGCGACGTGGCCGCCGGTCTGGGCGGTGATGTATTGGTGCATCCGGGTGAATTTTGTTAGGGCGGCCGGGCTGCCGCCCCGAGTAGTAGAGCTGTCCTGTCCGGACGACCGACCGGCGGACGGGCGCCTTCACAGCTCATTCCCTGGATCCTTTATATGGATTCAGGGAACGAGCTCTAAATAATAAATAAAATAATCCTCTGAAATATATATGTGTATTAATACACACATATATATATATATATGATAATATAAAATATTCTAAGATCTGATCTCCACCTGAGGCCCAGTTTGGTCGTCCCGTGCGGCGGCTCCACTTGCCGCCTCGTTAAGGGTCCCCCTCGGCGTCGAGGACGACCCCACTTCCCGAACGTGTGTTCTTGGACCTGGTCGGGGTCGTGTGTCTCTTCTATAACCCGGATGGCACGCAGCCGGATGTAGCTTCCCTCGTATTTAACCCTCCCCGGCTCCTGGCCCCGCCCCTAAACCCCTGAATACCCAGACACTATACAAAGCGCACTAAGCACACAAACGCACAAGATACACACATACACACGCACACAACCGCGCAGGTCGACGACGCATTCACCACGGAGGTGGTGGAGGAGGCTCTGGCGCTTTTTGGAGACGCCAGCAGCGTGAAGACCGCATGGAGGACGCAGGTACGGCGAATCGTACAGCCCCCGTACAGCCGCTTTTCCCTCATCCGATCTTGCTAATCCTAGTTGTGCAAGCCTCCAACCCTCCACACACGTGCATTTGTATGTATGTATGTGTGTGTGGGCGTTTATGCGGACGCGTTTGCACAGCTTTTCGGCCCTAGTGGAATCAATTCCATGACGATTTGGAAGGCGCCACACACGCCGAGGCAGATCCGTGCACTCCCACCACTGCGTCCATCGCCCACCAGCCGCACGCCAACGAAACGCAAGTCGACGTCAAGACCGCCACTAATTGCCTTCGGTTGAGTCAATGTGCATGTAATTACTTCCTCTTCCTAGGCCTGTATCATGTACCAGTTCATATTAAGACACGCTCCCTCCCTCGCCCCGTACTCCCTCCCTCACCCCTAAACCAGAGTGTCCCTTTCCTCCGCCCCTCCCTTTCCCCGTCCCCCCTGCTCTGCCCTCCCGTGCTAAACAGGACGTCCTACGGGAGTTGTCGTACACTCAGTTATGGGCGCTTGTTGAGGAGGGTCACGTGGCCCGGCTGCGGTTCTACGGCCCCGAGCAGAACAAGGTGCTGGTGACCACGCGGGCCTCGGCACCTGGGGGCGTGAGGGTGTGCAAGGTGGGTGCGACGCGGCGGGTTGCTTGGGGCTGGAGGCCTCTGTATGTCTCACACACACACACACACACACACACTAATACACACACGCACAGAGTCCCCCCTTGGCCGTCGGCAGGTGATGACGGAATTGGTTGCCGTTTCTGCGTTGGTTCTGTTGGACGATCTCATCCCTCCGCTTCGTTTCTCCTTTTCATCCCCTCCGCCCCGTTCTCGTTCCACACTTACTCTCCGTGTCCTCCTCCGTCAGCTCCACCTGCCCCGCTCTTCACCTCCCTGCTGCCCAGGTGGTGCTGCCCCCAGATCCGGAGTTTCTGGAGCACCTGACGGCGCACGGGGTGGCGGTGGAGTCCGGCAACACGGAGGAGGACCGCCTCAGAGCGAGTCTGTTCATCCAGGTGAGGGCGCGGGAGGTGGGAGGGAGCCGATCTCCAAAGGCACACACTCCCAATGTCGTATGTATTATGTATGTACATATGGGTATATATGTATGTATGGGTATATGGGTATATATGTATGTTTGTATGTACATATGGGTATATATGTATGTTTGTATGTACATATGGGTATATATGTATGTATGTGTATATGGGTATATATGTATGTCATTAAAACACACCATCACGTGCCTGTCTACCTGCATGCATGCATGCTTGTCCGCGACTTCCGCGACTCAATTTCTTAGTTAATTAAAATTTTGCACACACAAACACAAACACTCGTTCCCCGTACGGCATGCAGATCCTGCGGTACACTGCGCCCTTCATGGTCATTTCGGGTCTGTTCTGGATCCTGCACAGCTGGCTGCTGGATCCAGTTCCGAACAAGTTCCGGCGTCAGGAGTTCATCCGGTACCGGCGGGAAATGTTGCATGTGGCCTCAAAGCTCAACTTCCGGACACCAGCACGCGAGGTGATGATGCCTGTGTGTGTGTGTGTGTGTGTGTGTTTGGGGGGGGAGACCCCGACGATGTCAGGGTGTCGATGGCTACGGAGTTGGGTTTCGGAGGGTTTGTGCTTTGTGGTTGCTTGTCTGAACGGGCAGAACGTGTCTGGGGATTACGGCGGCGGCTTGTTTGGTTTGGCTCCTGGGCGGCGCGGCGCCCGGGTCCCGATTCTCCACGGTTCTCCTCTCCGCGGTTCCTCCTTACTTGGGTTGCTTGATTCCGCGCTGGTGGTCTCAATGTTCCTGACACGTGCTTGAAATTGCGCGGTCAGGTCCTCCTCCCGCCCCAGCACAGGTCTTCTTTTTCGCCTAGAGTGGAAATATTCCCATTCGGATGTGACGTGATGTGCTTCCGCAGGTCCGCATCGACACCAGCTCCCCGGACTTCATTCCTTGGGACGACATCAACGGCATTGACGAGGTCAAGCGGGAGATCACGGAGATCATTGACTATCTCAGGGTGAGGAACGGGGGGGGTGGGGGCCGGGGGGTTGGGGTGTTGGGGAGGAATGTGTTTTATTTTGCCGGGCGGCTCTAGACGTCTAGAAGACGTCTCCATGTATGAGTCATTTGAAACAGACGGGGCCGACGTGCAAAGCACCAACTGCTGGAGGGAGGGGCAGGGGGATGGGTTTCGGAGGTTAGGTTTAAGGCGGTGCTCGCTTCCTAGGTCTTTTTTTGTTTTGGCAGTGTGTAATTTCACCCCCACCCCCCACCCCCCCTTTCATCATCATTTTGAATTCACTTGACGGCTCTCTCTCCCTCTCCCGGACATTACGGCATTGGTCAGGATTGCATTTTGTTGATGTGTTGCGGTGTTCACCCCTACCTCTACCTCCCTCTCGCCGGCCTGCAGAACCCCGCCCTGCTTCGCTCCAGGGGCGTTGCCCGCATCGGTGGCGTACTGCTGGCGGGTGCTCCAGGTAGGTCGTGTGGCCGCCGGCCGCCGCCGCCGCCGCCGCCGCCACTGCTGCTGGTTTCACGGTGTTGCCTTTTTAAGCAACAGCGTAGCCGTGTCCGACAGTCATGTTGAGCGACATAGCTATCTTCTGTTGGGATTTATATTTATATTAGTTTTAATTTTCGCAGGATAAAATATATAGTATATATTTTTTCCATTTCTCCACGCCGTTGCCCTTGTGTCCCAATTAGGCACTGGCAAGACGTTGCTTGCAAAGGCCATTGCAGCGGAGGGCGGAGTGCGCATGTTCACCTGCAGTGGTACCGACTTTTACGACGTATACAGGTGCGTGCGTTGCTGCTGGGCCTTGTGCTGCTAGTACTAGTTGTAGCGCTGCTGCTGCTGCTGCTTCAATCGGGTTGATGGCCTAGTGAACCTCAGCCGCGCAGGTCCACATCTTTGGTGGGTGAAATGTTTTAGGATGTTGACGATGGAGACCGTCCATCTGGACGGCACCTAAAACGAGAAAACAAGAATAATTGTCCGCCTGTGGTGTAATTGCATCCTACGCTGGATATGCCCTTCCTCATACTTCCCCCGCCGCCTCTGCCGCCACCAATCGCCCTCGCTCTGCCGTCGCTTCCCCGCCACGCCGCAGCGGCGTCGGCGCGCGTCGAGTGCGTGAGACGTTCGACCGCCTGCGAAATGCGGCGCCCGCTATTTTGTTCATAGACGAGTTCGACGCGCTCGGGGCGGCACGTGGCGCGCAGGCCAGTGGCGACGAGTCGGCATCCATCATCAACGAACTGCTGGTAGGTGAATGAGACACTGCCAGTAGTTCCTCTTTCGGTTGCGGGTTGGTTGCAGTTGGTTGCAGTTAGTTTAGCTGACCAGGTCGGCTTAAAATCATCCTTCACCTCAAGTTAACAGGGTCGCCGGATATGATGTCGTCCTCATCGCCCCCTGGCCAATCACATCCATCCCTTCTCCCCTCCTAACTCCCCCCTCCTAACCACTGGCCTGATTTGAATGCCGGGCTCTGTCCGCCGCCGACGCGCCTAGACGCGTACACGCCTACTCCCAAGCAGTACCTACATCTTCCAAAAAAAAGCTCGTTCCTCGGGGGTACCACACAACTATAGCTCTGGATTACTAAGGGCCCCAAGCATAACCTCATTCCCGAGTCACGCACCCACCAATTCGCATGGCGTCACGCACCTCCTCTACTAACCGTGATGTCCTCCTAACCATGGTGATCCCCCTCCGCCCACCCGAAGGTCCAAATGGACGGTTTTGAGGACAACCGGGGTATCGTGGTCCTGGGTGCGACCAACCGGCCCAACGCCATTGACTCGGCGCTCATCCGCCCGGGGCGGTTCGACCGCATCATCTACATGCCGCTGCCGGATGCGGCGGGCAGGGCCAAGATCATGCAGGTCGGTGGGGTCGGTGGGTGGGTGGGGTGAAGGCGGGGTGGGGTGAAGGCGGGGAGGGAACCTCCGAGCCCGTGTGTGTGTGTGTGTGTGGATCTGGATCTGGATCTGGGTATGGGTGTGTGGAGGTGGGTGGGTGTGTGTGGATCTGGGTGTGGATATGTGATTGTTACATATCTCACTGGGTTCGCATGGCCGGGGGACGACGCACCCGCCCCAACGGGAACGACCGCCGAAACACTCCTCCGTCATTGGGGTCAGTGTCAAGTCCTAACCGGCCTCCCTCATCTTGTTGGTGTGTGAGTGGATGTGGGTATGGGGGCGTTCGGATATGCAAAGGAAAAAACGCGCCCCTCGCCTCGCGCCTTCCCCCCCTTCCCCCCCTCTCGCCCCCCGCCCCCCCTCCCCCCCCAAGGTCCACGCACGCAACAAGGCGGTGGATCCGAACATCAACTGGTATGAGGTGGCCCGTGCCATGGCGGGTTTTACCGGTGCTGACGTGATGGGCCTTATGGCTCGCGCGGCACGTATGGCGGCACGGCAGGTGCGCGTGTCTGTACACACATCTATCTATCTACCTATATATTTGTGTGTGTGCGCGTGTGTGTATGGTGTTTCACCTCGGCTGCTGCGTTACCTAGATAGAGAGGTGTGCAACGAGTACCCATACAAGCTAGCAGAGGCCCAAGAGCCTCCTTAAGAGCCGCACAAGTTAGGTACAAGTCATGATACATGATAACACACAAAGTTTTAGAAGTACCCAGGCAATATTCACACGGCAAACAAGGACACTAGTCAACAATTATGGCCGCCTGCGTAGAGACGACCGCGTAAGCCAAGTGCCATGTACCAGGTGGGCCAATTTTGTTTGCTCGCTGTCCATCGTACGATCAACTGGAGATCGGAATCGTTGCTAAGGATTACGTCCGAGGAGCACACACAACATAATCTGCCGCCTAATCTCGCGGCGAAGACCGGGCCCTCCGGAATCGGCCTGCTTGCAAGCCAATCGACCTTATGATCATCCGACACTAACCAAGGTGGCATGCCGCCCCAGATATCACCATCATACTTCATAGCTGCTAGGAACCGAAACACCATAGCCGCCCATCCGCTATCAAACTCGCCGTGCATAACAATACGATATTATAACAACACACATATAAATTTGAACAAAAATATATAATAAATGTATGTACAGTACATATGTGCATGCGTGTTTTATCGTTCTGATGTAATTAGTGCGCACTTTATCAAGGCTTGAAAGGGGAGAGCCGCAGGGTATCGGGGTAAAAGGTGGGGGGCTTTATCGTCCGATGGGTGTCGGGCGCTGTGGCGCGTGAGTAAGGGAGAGCCGCGCTCCGACTTGCAAGGCGCTGACAGGCCCCTTGTGTTGATGTCCCACGTGTTCGCCTGTGTACGATGTACGGCAGGGTCGCGACGCGATTACTGAGGACGACATTTACGCCGCCATGGAGAACAAGACCGTGGAGGCACTGGTGGGTTGCAGTGGGTGGCAGAGGGGTATGGGAGGGTTTTGACCAGTTCCCTCAACTTTTGTGCACATCCGAAATTGAAATGGGGTCCCCCGGGGGGGGGGAGGTTGAGGGTTTTCCCGGGCGGTTTTCCAGGTGTAATCACTCGCACGGGCGGGGTCATATCGCGGATTTGGACGACGTCGACAGCCGCTCTCCTCAACTTTGCATGTATTTCAACCACCACCCCTACATGGCACACACACACACATAATATACGAAGTATATTCACACATTATATGTATGATGTGTAACAGATGCATACATACATACATACATACATACATACATACATACATACATACATACATACATACATACATACATACATACATACATACATACATACATACACCGTTACGTAGGTGGAGACCACCTCCGCGGGCGGCGGCGGCGGCTTCGTTGCGGACGACACCTCCCCAGAGAACCCGGAGCCCATTCCGCTGCAGCTGCGGAAGTCCATTTCGGTGTACGAGGCGGGCAAGGCGCTGGTGGCGTACATCACACCCGAGTACGAGGAAATTGCACGGGTATGTTTGACGGGTGTGCAGTGGGGTTTGTGTTTTTTTTTGGTCGTTGGGAAATGCCTGGTAAGAGTAAGAGGGAGCGGGTGCCCACCACGCTTGGGGTGGGCATGCGTGTGTGTGTATATCCACTTGTAACCCCCTCTTCCTCCGCCCACCCACCTTCAACCCCCCCACCCCCTCACCTATCAATGGGCCCCCCGGGGAGCAGGTGTCCGTATGCCCTCTGAACATCTTGTCGGGCTTCACTTTGTTCGTGGAGGACGAGGACAAGAACGTGAACGCCATCCTGACGCGGTCGGAGCTGGAGGGCCGCATGGTGGTGTCGCTGGCGGGGCGGTGTGCGGAGAAGCTCGTCATGGGCGAGGGCAACCTCACAGGTGACTGCTGATGCTGTTGCGGCGGCTGGGGGAACAGCAGCAGCACCACCACCACCACCACCACTTAACGGCTTCATTCCACCAGTAGCAGCAGCAGCAGCAGCACTCCTCGGAGGGTCTCCTCCGCGTCGTGTCTGTCCAATTCGCAGTGAAAACACATACAGACAGATATACAGACAGACATTCAAACAGACATACAGGCAGACATACAGGCAGCCGCCTTAGATTGTTATAAGACACACACACACACACAGCTCCCTTTAATACACTTACACGCCCTCCCCTCCCCCCCCCTTGGGCCCCCCCTCAGGCATGGGATCTCCCGACCTGTTTCACGCCAATCTGATCGCTCGGGAGATGATCATGTCGATGGGTATGGGTCGTCGTACCGGTCCCGTGGACCTGCTGCGGGTGATGGGGGCGGCGGAGGGCACCCCGGGGGAGGAGACCCTCCGCGCCGGACCGGAAGTGGCGGAGGGAGATCCCTTCTACTACCACAGCACGGATATGTCCACAGAGCAGGTGTGTATGCGTGCATGTATGTATGTATGTGTGTGTATGTATGAAGGTGTGTATGTATGTACGTACCTGGGGAACAGGGGGAGTCATCTGCACGGAGCACGAATGGCGGGAGGGGGAGTGTGTGTGTATAGATACGTATGTGTGTATGTATGTGTGTGTAACTGCGTGCATGTACGTGTACGCTTCCGGGGGTGAGGGGGGCCTCACGGGAGCAGTCTCTGGGGGGTGGGGAGTGGGAAGGTGCAGGTGCAGGTGGCTTGGCGGTGCGGCGGTGTACGGAACCTGAAACCCTAGGACCCACTAACACCGCGCAACTACCGCGGGGACCCGCCGCTTTGCTTCGTAACCCCACACCCCATCTCGCGCACCCCTGCTCTCCGCCGCCGCTGCCGTACGCCCGTCCATCCATCCGTACCTGTTCCCGTAAGGCCCGTGTGGCTCTGTCCGAGGTGGTGGAGCTTCTAGAAGCTGCAGAGGCCAAGGCCATGTACGGCCTGGCCATGAACTGGAAGCCGCTTCAGGCCCTCACGCAGGCGCTTCTGGACCGGGGCACGTTGACGGTGGGTTGCTGGGCCCTGGGGGCCCATGAGAGGCTGACGGGGTGCTGGATGCGGGTTAATTAGGGTTTTGACGGTGGGAAGGCGGAGGCAAGGAAGATGTTAACACTGGTGGCAGCATTACGGGTCAGCTGAGTTTCGACATGGGGACGGTTGGCGGATTTGGGTTTGGTGTCTCCCAAACACACCTACACACGTGCACATGTGTAGCTGACGGCCTCGCTGTCTGTCTGTTTGTTTGTTTGTCTGTATATGTGCCCCGCTGTGCGTCTGTCTGTGCCTCAAACTGCCGACTGTATATGTGTGCATTTTCTCAGGCACCGTACCATGAACTGCGTGTGTGTATGTGTGTGTGTGTCTGTTTGTGCGTATTATGTGATGTGATGAGATGTAATGATGTGTACCCTCCCCGTCTTTCTCCGGTATCAGCTTTAATCGTCTGTGGTTCGTCTTATCCCCTCCCCTCCCCCTCTCCCTCCCTTCTGCAGGGCAAGGAGGTGGCGCATATTCTCGAGACCAACAGCGTCATCCACTACCCAGACCCGTATACCTTTGGATTCGGCTGGGATCCGGATGGTGAGCGCGGGGGGAGACTGTGAGGGGGAGGGGGAGGAGGGTAAAGGGCGAAGGGAGGGAAGAAGAAAGGAAGGGGCTAGGAGGGGGCCGGGGCGCAGAGCAGAGCTCGAGGGGGAGGGGTGTGTGCGGGCCCCGTCGCGACAAGCAAGACGAGGGAGGCGTATTAATTGCGGCGTGGGGGCGACAGATCTGGGCTGAAATTGTTGGGCTGAAATTGACCTCCCCAAAGGTCGAGGCTCGTGAGCCGCCCGCCCATATATAGCTACGTGCGCTATGCGGGCTCCCTGCCTGCCTGCCAGGGCCTTTTCACGGATCACCTGCTTGCGGATCACCGCGGCGATCTTTGCACACCAGCGAACCCCGCATGCGTCTCTCACTCGTCGCGATTTTCTTTATCCTACTGGTTCGCGCTTCTGTTGGTTGTTTATATTTCCCCGCCATGTTCCACTGCCGCCGCCGCCGCTGTTCTGCCGCCGCCGCCGCCACGCAGGCAGCCTGCGGTATCCCTTCAAGCCAGAGAAGACCGCTGAGCAGAAGCAGCAGGAGGAGGAGGAGAGGGCGAAGAAGAGGAAGGAGGAGGAGGAGGCCGCAAAGCCCAAGCTCACAGGAGCTCGCGCCAAGACATGGTTTGCGGGTGAGGATTTACTGAATGGGGCTGTGGATTTGCACAGCTCCTTTCCTTCTAGTGTGTCCTGTTTAGGTTTAGGTTTAGGTTTTATCTATACAATGTTTTTTTGGGGTCACCGCCGCCGCCACCGTATTTTCGCTACTACCACTACTGCTGCTGCTACTACTGCTATTACAACCACTACCACCACCACCACCACCACCACCAGGATTGCTGGTCTTTGAGAAAGGGGCCGTGTTGAGGAGAGACTGTGAATCCCCCATGTCGGGGGCCATCTCCTTAGGCGCTGCCTCTGCTTCCCGCTCCCAGCCACCACCTCACCCGTCTCGCTACATTTCCACCCCGCCTGCAGGCACTGAGCACGATGCGCCCCGTACACCCGACGGGCGTTTCGCGCACGGCTGGCACTGGAACATGCCGTACAGCATCCAGAAGACACTACCGGACTGGTACAAGAAAGAGCTGGAGCGATATTCCTACTAATGCAGACAATCGTACACGCCGTACACATCTATGGGATTGAACAGCTGGCTGGACTTGGCGTGTCAGTCCGTCCGTCTGTCTGTCTGTCTGTCTGTCTGTGTGTGTATATGCATTTACACCGGGACCATTGGTGGCCTCTTGTAACTGGATCATCGAAAAGCCCAGGCAGCAGCCGTCACATGGACGGACTGGGGGATCGGAATGTATAATTGTGGGGGGGAGATAACGGACTCGGTCGGCTTTAGACGACTCGACATCCAGGAGATGTGCTTCCTGGGCGGTCAAGAAAGGGAATAGGCTACGCGTTTCCCTGCCTGCCGCTGCCATACATGGTAGTTTGGAGCGATTTGGAGCCAGGAGGGAGAAGGAGGAACGTTTCGGAGCGATATACGCAGCGGACAGAGGACATTTTTCTGGCCCTGGAACTCGTTCCCCAATTGTGTTGTTGTTCGGACCTTGCACCTGGTTCGGTAGAGGCCGTGGTGTTTCATGGGCCCCTGCTGCTAGCCTCCGCCCTTCCGCATGTGCAGGCAGCAGCAGCAGCAGCAGCAGTGAGTGAAACTGGCTTGACGAGTCTGTTGTCCACCAGTTACAAGGCCCGTAAGCTTCGCGAAGCTTATGGCGGCTGGATATCATCAACAGGCAGATCCACTTGCGCGAATTCTTGGTGCCGTGTACATGTCTGTCTGTCTGTCTGTGCGACAGTAGCCCCAGGTGTATGCATATGAGATGTAAATATATATAAGTTTACACGAAGTTGCTGTCAAATGTGCGGTGGCTGCAATCCTCTGCAAGTGCCGCAAATTAGGCAGCAGGGCTAAATATCTTGCGGAAAACTGGTGCAGTTGTCAGCGTAAGTTGTCAGCTGACGTTACAATTTGATAGAGAGTTGGGGAGAGCAAGGTGATGGAAACACAGAGACATCGCGTGGGGACGTAGCAGACGGGGACGGCTGGTCGTTGAGGCCATACAGCAATCAGGAATGCAGACGCAGTCCAAGGGGCCGGAGCCCCTTGGAGGAATTCCTTGTCCTGATCTCCGCCCCAAAGTATCTCAGTATTGGAAAGGAAATAAGGAAAATATGAATGCAAATGCAGGTGTATAGGGTCGTACTGGCAAAACGTTTCTCTGGCACTGGCAGAGGCTAGGGCCATACCATGTAGCCTGTTACAAGTTGAAAGTTCCTCGCAAGTTCGGTGCCCGTCCGTAAAAGCCTGAAAAGGGGGGCCATGGACTGCCAACAGCCATTGCTGCGGCGACGAGTGAGGACATGTTGACATATTCTCCTCCCCCGCTTACCCCCCACCACCACCACTTCCCCCACCACACCGCCCAAATGGAGCAATGGAGGTGGTCGCACCAGGTCCCCAAACTGCAGTGCGAGTTCCAAGCATGGCTCGACACCTGTCAGGAAACGGCTGAATTTTCTGCACTAGAACCGCGGTTGTTGTCAGCACCGCGCTGCTATTACCGTGCACCTTCGCTAGCACCAAAGCTGTCGCCTTGGTCGACTCAGGTGCTTTGCACGTCATGCCTCACTCGCCCAAAAAACTGGCCCTGCAGCTCCATGCCAGCCATGTAGCAACTCGTGTGCTTGGAGACGGCACAAATCACGTCCACCTACAAGATCAGGTACACCTGTCTCTCCGTATCCAAGAGTTCTGCTGCGAAATCGTAGCGCAAGTTACACCTAAGCTAGCCGAAAGGCATCGACCTCATTCTTGGCAGCCGCCGGATGCGTGAACACGGTGCATTACTCGACTTTTGGACAGGGCACCTGCATGGTGACTCGCCATGGCCGCTTACATCGGCTGCAGAGCCTAACCAGGTCGCTGTCCGAGGGTGTTGCGGTTATGAATTATGTAATTGCGGTTTTACACGCGGCAACGTCACCTAGCGCCAACCTGGTGTCTCTGAAACAAATCAAAAAACTGCAGAAGCAATTAGCGTCTTGTTATGCTGCTGCCTTCATAACTAGCGACGATATCGCCCAGCTAAACGCCATGGACGCCACCTCGGCGGCCGCATCCGACCCTACCCTGGTGTCGCCAGAAATTCTGGAGGACTTGCTGGACGAATATAAGGAGGTTTTTGAGCCCTTAACGGGCCTAGGCCAGGATCTCGGCACTGTCCACACCATCGAGCTGGAACCATACTCCCGGCCATACCGGCTTTCACAGCTGGAACAAACGGAGTTGAAAAAAGCAGCTCGCTGACTTGATGGCCAAAGCCCAGCAACGACTTTTCATTGATGCAACATAGATAGCAACTAATCCTATTTTGCAAGAAGAATTGATGGAATGCCCGTATCGACACATACGGCCATAACAGGCATCAGGAAGAGTTGGTTTGATTAAAAAATATGATTTAAATTCTGGCCTAGGCGGGACACGTAGGGGTTGGTGCAGGGGGACTTGCCACTGTCCAAATCTAGGCTGGTCCCGTAGTGGCGCTTGCAAATACCCCTAGCCACCGTGTCCCACGGAAACCAAGTTACACCCTAAAAGTTGTAACTGGGTTCCAATAATATGCATTTTTTGGCATCGATAGGCTTTTGGCCCCATTTGAAAATGTGCGGAGTCGTCAGCTTTCGTACGGATCCTCGACGTCGCAGTCGTGGGCTATGCGATCAAACAAAGCACCATTAGTTAGAGACGATGAACACACGATTCCATGCTACGTAATGACCGTGCCGTTGGAACGGGGCTTGAGTTGGAGCTGTGTTGGCGGAAGGACGGCGGGTGAGCGCAAGGATATAGTCACCACACTCGTACAGCGCAGTAGCGCATCAATCAACCTCATACAGCTTATCGACGGTAGTGTATAATATTGAATGTACTAAAAGTCTTCGTTCGAGCCATGTATGCAAAGCTGGAGATCAGGCTGTCTTACTCTGTTGCGAGGGGTGTAGGACCCCCTTGATCTTTAAAAACGATTGCACGCTAGGACCTTCAAACATATGCATTTAAAAAATATATAGAGCTGTTCTGAATGCCGTCCCTTTCTGGAGTCGTGCGCCAAGAGCTTCGGCGGTACTCGGATAAACTCTGTAAGGCTCTTGCCGGTATCCACCAGCGTGGCCCTGTCACCAAAATTGAACATGTTACCGCAATTTTATCCGAGGTTCATGCGCTGTTTGAGGATGACTTCTTGGACCGCCTTGAACCGTCTGGCTGGATCCAGCCTTTGCTTGAATCCTCGCTCGTCGCCAAGTCCGCGCAGCTTATAGACTGCATCCTACAAACTTATTTTCAAGCAAAAGATGCTGGTCTTTTTTCAGTTGCTGCAGTTAGCGGGGACCATGTCAAACGCTACATCTGGGCACAGCTTGTGGCCCTGGAAATATTGCAAGCAGCTTTCCCAATCCAGTGGGCTGTCCAAGCAGTCCAGATTGAGGCTCTTTCCACTCCGGTGCCACAGCGCCTGGGCGGCCGACTGCTGGAGCACCTCAGCTCCGCGTCTCTCCTGCAGGCCCTGGCCGACGCAACCCGCTTCGTGAAAGAGGAGCTTTGGACGGCCGTCAGCGACGGCAGTGCCAGGGCCTCCCCCATCTGTGACTTCTCCAGCAAAGCAGAGGCCACGACCGATGACACCGCCAGGCGGCGGAGAGGCGTCCTTGACATTTTTGGGCCCCGCTTAGATCGCGTGCTGGGCAACGCTGGCGGCGGCGGCCACGGCAGCGACGCCGCTGGCGCCGCCGGCGCCCGCGTCTTGACGTTCGTGGCCCAGCACCTTTCTTGTCTCTCAGCATCATTCGAGGAGGACCAGTTAACGGAACCCCACGGCTCAGCGTCGATTGTGCCCGCGCTCACGAAGCTCCTCGCGTCGCTTACGGACAGCGGCGTGCTGACGGCGCTGTGCGCTGCCGTACTGTCCGCGCCACCGGGCACCTCGCCGCCGAGGCACGGTGATGCCGTCGCCGACGATTTCACGATGACGATAGCAGAGGTACAGCTGACGACGTGCATGGCGCTGTGGGACATCTCGGCGCTGGTGGCTGCGTACGGCACTCCCGTCGCGGCGTTGCTGGCGGCGCCGGAAGTCCTGCAGCTGCGCCGGGCCGCCCTGGAGCAGGTGGCGGGATCTGAGCCTCCTCGAGCCGTGCAGCTGAGGGAGCAGTCGCTGTTATCCATGACAGGGAGAGCCGGGGCCGTCCGGGGTTCTAGGAACAGTGGTAGCGGCTTCCGTACCAGTGGCGGTGGCGGCGGCGGCGGCGTCCCTGGCAGCGGCGGGGGCGCGTACACTAGCAGTGCACGCAGTAATGGCGACGGCACCTGTACTGGCGGCGGCGATGCTGGTACTCAAGGCGGCGGCGCCGTTAGCAGCGCCCAGGGCGGTCAATGCGGCGGTAGCAGCGCTGGTTGCAGCGGTGGCGGCGGCGCTCATGGCAGTGTCCTCAGCGGCGGCGGCGGCGGCGGCGGCTTCGAAAGGACGACGGCCTCGAGGTGGCCTCTGCTGCAGTGCCGTGCTGTACGGCGCGTATACGCCGCGCGTGGTCTGCAGCTGGTCGATGTCATCCACATTTTGGTTGATGCCGCCGTCGGCGCCGTCAACATGTCGCAAGATTTCGGCGCTCGCGCCGCCTCCACCGCCGCAGAGCAGCTCTTCCCATCGCGTTTCGGCGCCGCGGACCTCACCATGCGGGTATGCCGTGCGTTGTACGGCCACGCGGCGGCCGGAGACCCGAAGCCGATGCCTGGTCGCGGCAGCTCGCCGTGGCAGTCGCCGTACATGTCTGCCGGCGGCGGCGGCAGCACCATGGCGGCCAGTAGCCGCAGTACCAGCAGTGGCGGCACCGGTGGCGGCGGCGGCAGCGGCGGCCTGTCGCTGCAACAACGCATCCAGCTCGCCGACGATGGCTCCTCGGTGGAGATTGCGCTCCGAATCCGGATGCTACATGCGTCGCCGGCGGAGCTGCACTTATGCGCGCCGGCGGTTGTCAGTGTCCGTGGCTGGGTGCAGCGCTTGGCGGCGGCAGCGGCAGCGGCGGCGGCATCTACCGCCGGCTCGACTGCCGCCGCCGGCGCATCCACCAATGCCGCCAGCCAGCCGGGGCTTACGCCGCACCTGGCAGTGGAGGAGGAAAGCCCCGCGCCCTCTCAGTTGTCGTCGCCGAGCTCGGCGGACGGTACGACATTGTACGGCGATGGTAAGAAGAGACTTTCCCCTTAGGTTTTCATGCACGCGAGCTAACCGTATATCGCCCCCGGTATTCACCAAATGTACTACAAGCCAAGGAGAGGAGAAGAACACGGGAAGGCGGTGCAGTGCCACACGGGCAGTGGTAAAACAGGCAGCTCTTTCTCCTCCCATCATTGTACTGCACCTTGCACTGCGAATTCTCTCTTCTGCACCTCCTGCTATACCTTTTACATCTGCACCGCTGCCTCCGGCATCCCCATGCTCCCTCCCGCCCATACAGACCACAGCCCCACGCCATACCCTGCAACGGGCCATGAGGACCACCTAACAAGCCTTGAAGGAGATTTGCAGCAGAAGCAGCGCTGTAGTCCGATGACTGTCCGCGGCGGCGGCGGTGCAGCCGCTGCTGCTGCCGCTGCCAGCCCCGCCGACTCGCCCACCCCGGTCGCCGCCCAAGCGGGGACGCAGTGCTTACCCATTGCCTCAGAACACGGACCCAGTGTCGCCACTGCCAGGGGATCAAAACAGAAAACCAAATCCGCGGCCAGGCGGATCTTCAGCTCCTCAACTGGACAGCTGCCGGGACAGTCGGGCAGCGTCAGCGCGGGGCCGTCGTCCCCAGTACGGCAGTCGCGGCGGCTGTCCGACAGCCTCCGAAGGTCCTTCGAACGCCTGAGGAACTGGGTTTCGTCGCGCCGTTCGCACGAGGCATTTGCGGCGCCGGCAGATTTGGAGGCTGAGGCTGTGTTGCCCGTCCGGGTGCTGACGCCGCTACGGCACGGCAGCGCTCCTGGCGGCAGCGGCGGCGGCGTCGACGACAAGTCGCGGCCGAGGATGCAGACGGTGCCGTCGGCCTTGCTGCACAGCGACTCCGGCGCAGCGACCCCACATGCGCAGAAGTACTTGCTGTCGTCGCCCCCGCCGCAGCCCGCGATGGAAGTGGATCAGCAAGTGCCGAGGTCATATCCGGGCACGCCGCCATGCGCGCAGCCGCCGCCGCCACCACCGCGATATATGACGACAACGGCGCCGACAAGCATTGCTCTGGGAACGCCCCCACGACCGCCGCCCAGCAGCGGCGGCGGTGTCGGCAGCAGTAACCGCCTCCGGGCTGCGGCGTCTCCATCTTCCACGTTCGTGCCGTCCCCGTCAACGCGTCTGGCGCCACCCGCTGCGATCGACATCATCGCCCGAGTCCCTGTAGTACATAGCCCAGGTCACGTGTACAGCGTTGGCGGGTATCTGTACGGCAGCAGCGCTGGCGGGTATCCGTACGGCAATAGCAGCAGTACTGGCGGCGGTGGCACCGACCGCCTCATAAGTGGCGGTCGTATTCTTCCTGCGGCCCAAGGACTGAGCTCCCCCGGGGGTATTCCGACATCAACCCCCCCGACATCAAACGGCTTTCAAACGGGTTCTGAGTCGCCGGGGGCGGTGAGGGGATTGGGTATCGCGGGGGGAGCATGCCCCGCGAAGGGCCACTTCAGCGCCGTCGTGGCCGCCACTGCTGCTGCTGCCCCTACAGTGCAGGGCTTGGCGTCGCCAGTGGCGGCGGTGCCGCCACTGCCGGAGGCTCCGCCGCCTCCTCGTCGTCGTTCCGTACTGCGGTCCGGTGTGCTGACGGCGCCGCTGCGGTTGCTGCGGCGGCGGCATCGTCGAGACTTACAGATGGACGCTGAGGTGGGTTCAGTGGAGCAAGCCAAGTAGGCATAGGACCGCAGAAGACATCCCCGCGTGCGGGCGAAATGGGTTGGGTGGTTGAGGGTGAGGGGGGGGATCCTGGGTCCAACGCGTTGACTTGCCGACATACCCCCCGGGCCTTGGGGGTGATGGACGACCCCCGGCGCGGGTTGATCGATGTCTGCCTTCAACTAAAATCGGTATTCTTATTATTGTTTTTGTTACAGGGAGTTGTTATTTTTCGTTGTTGTTTTTCGCGTTTCCTGCTAAGGGCAGTTGAAGGGGTTCTGCTGTTAGGGCGCTGCTAATTTTGCCGCTGAGGGCGTCGCTGAGCCCGGGTGTCGTCGTTTGGTGGACAGCTGTAGCCGTCGAGAACACAGAGCCAGGACAGGATACGTGGGGCAGTGATGCGCAATAGACCAAAACGATGGCGGCAATAAGTTTTAGTTAGGTACAACAGGGGGGGAAATTTATTTAACTCTATTTTCTTCAAGTGCAGCGGTATGCAAAAGGCGTTGTGTTATACGCATGTGCATCGTACGCGCGCCCTTCATGTGCAGCAATGGAGGTTTTTCTTTTCTAAAGGCTGTTTTTTTGGGGGGGACCGCGTACATCATCACCTTTTTCCAATTGTGGCCGGTATCCATGTCACAATGTGGTGCTGCTGCTGGTGATAATTGGGGTTTCGCTGGGGGGGAAGTGGACCAAGCACCAGGGGATAGACGACCCGTAGAAAAAGGTCTTTGAGTTTGGAAGGACAAGCACCTTTTTAATTGTTGTATCTACCTGGCGATATGTCCGACTATCTTGGTGGAGCTGCCGTATTTATCTTAGTGAAATGGACGGGGACCATGGGGGATTGCGCGCTGAAGCACCAATCGCAGCGAGAGCTCGCAGCGGTTGAGCGACAGTGAGCTTCTTGTTCCCACACGGTTTACATATGTTTCATCGGCTGTTCATCATAAGTATCACTATTGTATGTTCTATGACCATCGTGTGCCCCCCCCGGAGAACACCCCCAACCCGCCCTCCCGCATCATCCTGTTTACATACCTCCTCTCGCGGCCCCCGACGACCCTACCGACCTTACCGAACAGAACCCTAAGTTACAGCTGCCCTCCAAAATGTGCACCTGTACGGGTACCTTGGCGAACCTCCTCTCCCGCAGCAGCCCTCCACTTCTCCTCCCGTCCCGTCCCTTCCCTTCCCACTCCTCGGGGCCCTGCGAACGCCCCTGACAATACACTGAAAAGCTGAAGGTCATAAACAGAAAACCGAATGCGGTACATACATACTGGTTACATCATCCTCATCTTGAGGCAACCGCTGCGACCCGCTATGCAGGGCTGCCCTCTCTGGCAGGGCCAGGGCCAGCTCGCACGGACGCTGCGGCTGTAAGTTGGCCCAAATAAAGTAGCTGCGACCATGAGGAGTTGTGGGCACACACAAAGACCCACTTTTGTCGCACAGCCTCAGGACCCTGGCGTTCCCCCCAGCGTCCCCACAACAGCAGAGCTATGCAGCACTCCCGGACAGTTCGGACGGATACAGATACCCTAAAGAAATTAAGCCCCCGAGTGTTGATGATGGCTGTGGCGAGGTGAGAAGTGAGGTGAGCTCTGTTGTGCGCGTGGCATATGTGTGCAGTGGTGGTGCCAGGATGCTGCTACCGTCCCGGTCACCACCGCCGCTGGTGCAGCACGAAGATAGCAACAACAGCGGTGGGGCGGCAGCAGCACCAGCAGCAGCACCAGCAACGTGTTCAGAAAGAAAGAACTCCACTGCATATGGCCTTAGTAGCTAGCTGCCACTCCGCTGAGCCGCAGCTGCAGCGGGTACACCCGACAGGGGCCCGTCAGCACCTCTCTCCAACCTCCCTCAGCCTCCCCTTCCTCGGTGGCGCTGGGGCATTTGGGGCCGATACGAGAGCCATGATGCCGTACTGACTTCCGTACTAAGCACCTTATCCGCATCAGTCATCATCCTGCATGGTCCAATTTAAGTACACGGCATCTTCGCCTGTCTGTCTGTCTGTGCGTAATTTCGTAGTAAAGGCTGTGTCCGGTAATTACCTATCATATCCTCCGCAATCCTCCTTCCCTTCAAAATATATAACCATCTGCAACTTCAACGACATCCTACACCGAACCACCATCTTTCTCATTATTGCCAGCATCGCACCAATCTACCCCATCCCACCCCAGGTAATAACATTAAGAAAAAAAATCCGGAAAGGCATCAGCCGGGACATGCCGCAAACGTGCACCAGGAGGTGGGATCCATGTACATACGAGGAGAGATCTTCGTATTGTACGGGAAGAGGCGGAAGGAAAAGCGTCGTACGATGGAATGAAACGCCTACTACTGGCATCTTATCTTCAAGATCCTGATTCTAAACAAGCATCTAACAATACCTTTCACAGCCACGTTTTTGTGATGTATTGCAAGTACGGCCCTGAAACACATGGCAAAAGAGAGGAAGCATCGCCTCCCCCGCCGACCTCTTGTGATGACGGAGCTGATGACCGTATGTATGTATGTGTCTGTTTGAGAAGCGCTATCCCTAGCGCGGTGACAGGTGTACGGAGAGCTACGACATTCACAAGAGCTGCAACCTGCGTCGGTGAACCCTCCCGCCCACCCTTTCCCTCCTCCTCCTCCCCCTTGACTTCCTTGTCTTTCCCCCTAGGCCATATGCTCCGCTTCCCCTGTTCTCGCATGCGCGCGTAGTAAACCCTATAAGTGTATCCGTCCCTCTGTCTGTCCGTTTGTTTATTCTCCTTCATATCACAACAAGATTCCGCTTCCCCCCTCTCCTCCTCGCATCCTATGGGACGCCTCTACCCCCCTAACAGGAAAAGGACTCCTCTGCCGCCCTGTGCAATCTATCTGGCCCCTTCATGCAACACATATGTATATCGTTGTGCACAGCCCCCCCTCGCCTCGCTACCCTCCATCTGCCGCCGAAGCACCGCCATGCGCAGACATCCCTACAGCTGCGACTACACGCGCTTTCTCGACCCTAACCACTCCCACACCCACGCACATATCGGCGGGGGGTTTGGGCCTGCAACCCCCTCCCCTCTTTTCTTCTCCTTAGCTCAGCTTAGTAGATGATGAGCTTTGCTGACCACAACCAAATCACGAACAGCACCAGCAAGGCCAGGCCGCTGACGGATGCCCACACCGCCACCTGGGGTGGGTGTGCGGAGTCATCATCCCGTACATTGGGGGTTGGGGAGTTGGAGATGTGCGGCTGGTAAGGGGGGGTCAGGAGACGACGACGACGACAAGGACGACAAGGACAAGGACAAACAGCCGCTGCTCAAGATGATAACCAGACACGACAACACAAATGGCCCCGCCCCGCGATGTACGGCATTCATCTACCACATTTCCCTGTATTACTCCAATTACCTTACATGGACCCCCACCCCCCCCACCCTAAATCCACCCCCACCCCCACCCACCCGCATATACACACACGCACACACATAAACCCGCGCCATCCCTCCCACCTATCTTTAGACTTTCCCCCGACCCCACCCCTAATTACCCCACCACCACTACACCACTCACGTCCGTAAACAACCCAGGTGCTTCCTGAAGGCCGCTGTTGAGGTTCATTCCAAACCAGGCCCCCACCACCGTCATCATGGCCAACACTGTCGTACAGGCTGTTAGGATGAGGTCAATGGTGATGAGCTGGTTTCGGTGCTGATCCAGTTTGATGTTGACCAGATCCTCCGTGTCCTTGATATACTCGTGGAGGGTCTGTGTGCGTGTGTATGTGTATGTGTTTTGGGTGGGTGGGGGGAGGTGGGCGGATGTTGGGGAACAGATGCCGGCGCTGGGGCTGGATGCTGATGTGGATGTAGATGTCAGGGGCGGGGGAAATACATTGGGATGCGATCGAAGGTATGGGAGGTTTGACTAGGGTGGTAAAGCAACGCCACCTCACATAGAGTTGCACGTACTCGTGTAATCATCTTAACACCAAAACCTGAACGACACAGTGTGCTGGCAGCAAACCCTACACACACATACATACATACAGCCGCACACTCCCCTCCCCCGCCCCTCCGCCCCACCTGCAGCTTGTTGTACGTGTTATCTACATGCATGAAGTACGTCTCCAGCAACATCTCCACCACCGCCGTCTCCGCCTCCTCCACGGACGAGTCCGAGGAGGCGGAGGAGGAGGAGCCGCTGCTGCAGCTGCCTGTGGTGCTGACGGTGCTGCGGGCGTCAGCCTGGAGAGGGAGGTCGGGGGGTCAAAGGGGGAGGTCGGGGGGTGGGTCAGGGCGGCCCGCGGCGGAGCACAACGAGCCAGGGAGAGGGCGGAGTGTGGGGGTGTGGTGCGGATGGTGGGGTTAAGAGAACCAGTGGCGAGTGAAGCATGTACCAGAGATAGACAGACGGATAGTCCCGGAGAAGGCAAATGATGCTGCATTTCAAGATATATATATATATATATATATATAATATAATATAATATAATAATATATAATGTATGGGTATATATATATATACCCATACACTATACCCATACACTATATCTTGAACTACTACTACTACTCAAAGAGTCATCACTGGTTAGTAAATATATATATATATATTATTTAAGTATATATATATTTACTAACCAGTGATGACTCTTTGAGTAGTAGTAGTAGTCTTGGCGGCGATGTGGCCATAGCTAGGTTGCGAGACGAGCCCTCCATCCCCCCTCCCACCCCCCCTCACGTTGTTTGCTTGCTGTTGCAACAAGAGCTCTCGCTGCTCCTCCTGCTCGTGGAGCTCCTTGGCCGTCAGGTTCAGGTCGTGCATGTCCGAGTCATCGTCCAGAAACTTCTCCAATACCTGCATGTTTGCGTGTGCGTGCGTGTGTATGTGTGTGTATCTATGTGTGTGCATCACATCACATCACATCACAGTGCACAATCTTACGTGTTGACAAGCCCCCAACTCCCCACGCCAAAGCTACAGACCAATCCATGGGGGAGGGTTACATCACTCTGGGACGGCGTACCCCACACTACCGCTGTGTTCGCCCTCTCCCCCACCCTCTACCCACACCCACACAAAACCCATGTTTGCACCGCCCCCCAGCGGCCCCCTCCCTCCCTCCCCGTCTCTTCTCACCTCTCGTATGGTCTCCACTCGGGTGGTCAGCCGCACCAGGTTATTCTTGATGCGACGAACTCGCTCCAGGTTGGGGGAGCTGACCTGGGGACCGGTGCGGTGTGTGTGTGTGTGTGTGTGTGTGTGTGTGTGTGTGTGTGTGTGTGTGTGTGTGTGTGTGTGTGTGAGAGGAATGCCCCACCACAGGGGAGGAAGTAGCAGAAGAAGGAAAACACACACAAACATACGCTCCACTTCCCCCCTCCCCTCCCACCTTATTCGCCAGCGCATCCACAGCCGGATAGGCCCCCGCCTCCAACTCCTGAGTCAGGAAGTCCAGGTGACCAGCCATCTGGGGGTGGGAGAGAAAAGGGGAAAGGGCGGGGGAAGACATCGAGCAAGGGGAAGAGGAGACACGATAAACATACATACGACATACATACATACGACAGCCTCTTTCCTCTTCTTCTCCTCCTCCTCCGCGTCCCCTTTGCCCGCCAGCTATGGAGCGCCCCCCAAAAAACCCTAAACCCCTTCCACCCGCGATTCTCCCCTCCTTCCCTCCCCCCTCCTTCCCTCCCCCCGTACTCACCACGTCCAGGCAGCACTCCAGCACCCGCAGCTCGAAGGGCAGATCCAGTCCCAAAGTGGAGGGACCCGGTGCCAGCTTCTGCCGCTCAGCGTCCGTGAGCGACTGTATGTACGTAAGTATGTATGTAGTTGAGGGGGGGGAGAAAGAGGGGCAGGCAGGCGGCAAACGTATACATATATACATACATAGGCTCCCGTCTGAATCGCATCCACGTGGATGAGGCCATGACGCCGTACGTCGCCCGGACGGAGATTATCCCGCACACCACTGTCGGTGCTCTACAAAAAAGGCGACCCCAAGCTCCCCGGCAACTGCCGCCCGATCACACTGCTCTGCTCGAGTTACCGGCTCGTCACCAAAGCGCTGGCAAACTGCCTAGGGCTTTTCCCCCGGGCTTTTCCCCCATCACCCCCGAGCAATCAGCCTTCCCACCCAAGCGCCTCATCGGGGTCAGTGTGCTATTCCTGCGCCACCTGTCCCACCTGGGGCCCCGAGCTGGCTACCCTTTCCCCCCCTTGCGCTTTTTCGGAGGCCTGCTCGCCGGGTGTCGTGGCAGGATATCTTCCCGTTCCCCCCCACTTTCCGACTCAGCCCCAGCGCTATGTAGGGGGGACGCGGACACGTGCGGTGATACCCCCCCCTTGCAGTTGATACCTCCCCTGGACTAGCCCAGGGAGGGAGAGGTGGGGTGCGGGAAGTGGTCTCGGGAGGCTGGTTGGGGTCTTGTGGTGTGAGCTCTTTGCGTTCTTTCTGTTTGAGGCTGTTTGGAGCTTGGTGACCTCCCCAGCCCGGGATGACTCGTCGGGCTCTCGGTCGCCCTGGTCCTAAACGCGCGCTCTTTATGAGGCTTTTTCTGTACTTCCTGGCCGTAGGAAGAATCCCCCGGTGCGACTTCGTTTTTGTTAAGTGACCAGCGGGCCTAGAACCCGTTTAGCAGTAGCACTACCCCCCGTGGGGAAGTATCTCGCCGTATCCCGCGCGGTCTGACCGGGGGCGGAATGCAGCACGAGACTAACCAGCCGTGTGTGTCTGGGCCCCCCGCTGTGTTTCGGCCCTGGGCCCCCGGCTTTTAAGCCCACAGTGCAATCAACGTCGTACATACATACATACATACATGCACATATACATACACAAGCACCTCTTTCAACATCCCCCCCAACCCCAGCCTCCCCTGTCACTCACCTGGTACGACCTGCTCTGCGGCATACCCCCACCCGGGGGCGCAAGACGGCTGGTGACCTCCGTGATGAAGCGAGACACCTTGGCGTCCTCTGGGTTAGGGGGTGTTGTTTAGGGGGGGGTGCGTGAGAAGGGAGAAGGCTGTTGGTAACACTCGCCATCCAGTCCCCAGCTTCCCGCTTCCAATAACCCCTCCCAGCCTCTCCTCCACCCCCCTTCCCCCCCTTCATCCAGTTCCACCCCCAGTCCTCCTCCCCCCTTTCCACCCTCCTCCTTTCCCCCTCCTCCTCC